CTTGGATGCTGTTTAAGAAACATGCTTTGTGTTGCTGCAGACAGTAGTGCTTGCCTATTGTAACAGCGTTGATTCTGCTGTAGCCTCAGTGACCATGTAAATGAAATAAATGTGTCCTCCACCCACAAACAGTTGTTCGGCCCCTGGATTCTGGTTGCCACCGTGGTTCTCTAGTCAGTGCTGTGACCAGCATACTAGGTGCTGGGGATGATCAGCTCAGCTCCTTAGCTGGTCTGGGAGAGGGAGGGGCCCGGCCAGGAGGGGGCTCAGCGTTTGTGTTTCAGAGGCAGGGGACTTGAAATCCTGACGTTTAGAAGTGGAAGGGATCTTAGATCATGGTTTCATGGTTTTCATGCTATTTTGTGGGGTCATTGTGGGGAGGAAGCCCACCACGTCCATTCAGTATTAGACTTCCAAGTAGGATATGATTTGAAGAAAGGTTTTGATGCTTAAAATAAAAGTCTGAAAGTGATTTGATTTAATCCAAACTCCTGTTTTTTTGTTGAGGGAAACTGAGCCTCAGGGAGCCACAAAGACTTAACCCAAGATTGTCAATGAATTAACAGCAAAATCTGAATAAGAAACATTCTCTCCCGACTCTACCTCCACCACCTCCCAGTGCTCCTGGGCTTCCAGAAGACAACCTTAGATAAACGGCTGTTAACCTGCTCCTCTTCAGATAGCCAAGCCAGAAATCTTAGAGAAGAGCTTAGTAATGCTACCAAAAGGCTTGAAACTATGAGCCCTCCTCTCCCTCCTAACCCAAATCAAAAGGTTTTGATATTATAATCATTGTTTTTCACCTTTCAGATATATAAATGTTATTAGCATGAATTGTCTCAAGTAATAACATTGTCTTAAATCAGTGGGATTGGGGGGAGCATCTTTACTACTGCAAATGGGTTAGTTGTGAATGATCTCAGCCTCCAATTTCTGAATTTGATACAGAGGAAAAAATCCTTATGATAGGTAAGTGGTTGCAAATGGAAATGGTAATAGTCGCAGCTTGCCTGCAATCTGTTGTTATTGACAAAAGTGGATGCTTAAAAAAGGATTAATAGAAGAATATTCAACACCTGCTTTCAATCCTTATCCTCCACAGATCAGTAAGAAACACCCTAAAGGTTATAAATAAGCACTCAAATTATTCTACAGTGAGAGCCGCTAGCACGGAGTTGCAGCTGGGCGCGGCGATCCAGCATCAGGCTAGCACCCTCCGTCACGGGCAGCCCACCTGAGCACGGCTGCGGAGGCCTACAGAGATGTCTCAGTCTAAGCTAATGCGTGTTTTACACTTGAGTGTGCACGTTAGAGACGATTTTTACCATATAAGATATCTGCAGTGTTTGCAGAGAACCCCGGAAGCACTGCCACAAAAGCCAGTTTCACAACCACTAGTTGGGCGGGGAGAACCTGAGCTTCTGAGGCCCCAGCGGAGTTGCCTGTGGGAGGGTGAGGGGCTGAGCATTTCCTCCTCTAGAGCAGAGCACTTTGCCAGAAGAGGGGGTTGAAGGTGGTTGCTTAGTAGATGCTCCCCTCCCCACTGTTCACGGGATGAGATGGCACTTCTATCTCTGGCTGCTGGCAGATACTCTGAATGTCTGGCACACCTTCTATTTCACCACGTATTAAGACTAGAAGACAACTGGCCCCACCCCGGGTCTTCCACCTTACAGAGGTAAAATTCTGACCTTGAAGCATTCTGATCTGAGTTTTGCAATAAACTGCAAATGTATCACTACTCAAAGACTTTAAAGTTCACATAAGTATTTTATTAAAGGATTAAAATGTTCTAATGGATGCAGGTGCACTGATGCTTTAAAATTGTGTAAAAGCAATGGAAGCCCCCCGACCGCCCCCCGCCCCGAGAGAGAAACTGCTTCTTGGGGTTGAGGCGGCACCTAAGAATTCCCGAGCCCTTGGGGAGACTGGCACGGCCTCACTTGCTGTGAGGTTCCTGACTAAAGAATGACAGCCGTCCAGGCTGAGGAGCAGGGGAGGCAGAACCAGGTGGCCCTTACCTCCGTAGCACAGATGTCCGAGGCAGAGGCCTGGGCCCAGGTTGTGTGTCCTGTCTAGCAAGAAAGCCTCCATGAGGACCCTAGAGGCCAAGGTTGGAAAATGAAGCAAAGACCTTGCATTCGTAGGATTCCCGCCACCCCGCCATCTCCAGTGCCAAAGGAGCCCAAGGTCGCGGCACATATTTAAGGTTTTGTCACCCAAGTTAAACCAGCTTAGTGTTCGTTGTAAATGGTTCCCCTACTGTACTTTGCCATTTGGAAGGTCAATTCCTAGACTGGCAGTTCTTTCAAGTCCCCCAGAAGGTGCCGCGCCCAGCCAGCATACATTGTTCACTGGGGTGAAGAACTCCCACTCTTGGAGTCCCTGTCAGCCTTGGGACGTGACCTCTGTGCTCTGGCACCTCAGGTGTATGATTCATCTGACTTGATAAACCAGTTGCTGCCACACAGGCTCCTCTTGCCCCCCTGACACTGCTCACACGTCCCCAAGGACTCGCCAGCCATGGCCCCAGACCGTTCCTTTCAAAGCGTTCAACCGCAGGGCAACCTCCGGCTGGCGCTCCCACCTCTGCAGACAGCCTACAGCACCTGGCCTTGCTTTTTGTCCTCTGCTCAGTCTGGTGGTCCTAACCAACCAGTCAGTGCCTGGAGCTGGGGCGAACACAGGTGCCAGCTGGCCCTTCCCTCCTCTACTCCCAGGTAAGAAGTTAACCTCTTTGCAGACACCTTCCCTGGGACTGGGAGACGCTCCACCATGCAGTCTGGTTACGAAGCTCAGCCTTCAGTTCCGAACCATACCAGGCAGGAACAAACGAGAGCACCCAACGCCACCTTACACAGCTTCTGTATGCTACTTGAGGGGAGGCCAGCGGAGTGGCGGCAGGGGCCTCTGCCTTTAACTGGGCATCCCTGATCACCCTTGCCACTCGCACCACCTCCACCCAGCCCTGCCCGGCAGAGCACTCCAGACTTTTGGAGATCACTGCCAATGCCTGAAAAGCCTAGACAGAGCTGAGGACAACAGCCTGGGTATCTGAGGTCATCTAGTCGCCCCTCCTTGCCGGGGACCCTCACTTCAGGTCTTTGCTTCCCACAGCTGTGGATAGACCGGGACTCCTTCCTTTAACGAGTAACTGAGGGCTGTGGGTCTGCCCAGGCTTCACTGGTGAGTCACGCACGCGTATCCGCCCCCACCATCCCATGAGATGATGACATGGCATTTCTGTCTGTCCCGCCACTGTTTGCCCCAGGAGTGTGCCATCTGTTAGGGAAGATGGGGCAGATAAAAATAAGTTAAAAGGTGCTCATTATCCAAAAAGAACTGAGACTTAAAAAAGCCTCTTGGAGTCAACCTACTTAAAATGGAGACCAGTCACATATAATAAACAGAGGAAAAGGTTTGATTGGAACTTCTTGGAAAATGAAACTACTAAAACTAGTAGCTCTTAACAAAGTGCAACTGCAACTACGGGCGAATTCTTGGAACAGCATTATTTTATGTATATTTCCCTCCTAAAATTATGTGATTGCCCAACAGGACACCATTTCCACAGGGCAGTCATTTTTGCAAAAGTTAGCGGCTTCCTCAGTTTTCCTGAAAGCCTCTCTTAATCCTTTAGTTCTCGGATCCTCAAATCGCCCCCTGCAGCACCTCCCTGGTTCCATGAAGCTCTTCATTTGTTAACAGACCTAACCCTCCGCTCCTCCTTTGCCAGTGACTGCAATCATTTGAGCAGTTTCCCACCAATACTTACACGACTTTATGGCCTTCTACATTTTAAAACTTAAATTGTACTCTGGCACCATTTCATTGTACTGTCAACGTCAGAAGTTTACGACATCTCGCAATCGCAAGTATGAGATGGGAGAGAGGGGCTATGGTGGGAGGAGAGTGTTAATCAGGGAGATGCTTAAAAAGAGACAACAGGCCCCAAATGAAGTCACCTGTACTAAGCCCCACGTCAGCAAATCCTGGCTTGCTAACTAAACTGCACCCCAGTTCCCCAGGCAGAACCTTTAACCAGTCGTCATGCAATTACCTAGTCAGCACTGGTGGGAGAATCCACTTGATGGACCCCTTCCGATCCTGTTAGAAAGGCCACCTTACTGAAACAATGCATTCTTTACTCATCATTCTCCTTTACCACCCCATTTTTGCTCCTAAAAAACCTGCATTTTGTACAGCCCTTCAGAGCTCCTTTTATTGCTGGATGGGATGCTGCCCAACTCATGAGTCATTGAATCAAAGCCAATTTGATCTTTGAAGTGAACTCAGCTGAAATTCTGTTTAACAATGTCTAAGTGGAAAGTAATTTTTTATATGCTCGGTTGGAGAATACTTTTCATGTCTGATGAGTTTAGCTTTCCTCCACAACTTTGGAAGACTACTTAGATATGGCTTAAAGGAAGAAGAAAGCCCATCGGCATGTCTGACCAGAGAGCCTGCCCTGGAGGGGCAGCAGTGACGTCAACTGATGGCAATACTGGGTCAGCACGAGCCAAGGCAGGAGGGCAGTTTGAGGAACTGAGTTGGAGTGCGTGGTTTAGCAAATGAGGAAATACTTGTTAAAAGAGGCCAAGGAAGTCTATTTCAGGTTAAACACTCATCTCAATTCTACAACTATTTGGGGTTTCTGAACAGAGAACTGAACAAGATAATAGTTAAGACTTATTATGGGTCAGACACTGTTTAAGTACTTGAATTAACACATTTAATTCTCCTATCAACCTGGTGAGGTCAGTACTATCATATCCTCATTCGAAAATAAGGCAACAAGAGGGGCGCCTGGGTGGCTCAGTCGGTTAAGCGTCTGCCTTCGGCTCAGGTCATGATCTCAGGGTCCTGGGATTGAGCCCCACGTCAGGCCCCCTGCTCAGGGGGAGTCTGCTTCTCCCTCTCCCTCTGCCTCTCCCCCCAGCTTGTGCTCTCCCTCTCTCTCAAATTAAAAAAGAAAAAAAAAAAATTAGGCAATGGAGCCAGCATTGCTGTTAAGGCCCTGGCCCAAGGTTACGCAGCAAATAAGCAGCAGAACCATGGTTTGAGTCCCGGCCCTCTGTCTCCACAGACCACACTCCAAACCACTGCCTACCTAGTCTCTCCTTAGTCAGGGCCAGCTGGGAGTGGGTGCTAGGAGGATGAAGTAGTGGTAAGAACAGTAAGAGGCCATGTGCAGGATAAAAGGCCTAAATCAGAGAAGTGAATTGCTCAGGAGCAATTCCAAAGGGACCCTTGGACTATTCATTTCCAAAATCCAGAAGCGTATTACGTTACACACAAAGCAGTCCATGTTACAAGAAGGAATTAGCAACTCATTAAAATGTACTTTCTTAGGTGGAGCTCCCTCACTCAACTGTAAGACTTCCACCTCTAGCACAGGGACAAATCTGTTGGCAGCAGACACCACCTCTATCAGGGGTCGAGACAACTCTTAGCCTGAAGAAGCTACAGCGTGGTGTCTGTCTACGTATGTGGAGCCCTAGGTGGCCCAGACCTAGAGACTGTGGGACCTGTGTTCTAGCCCCCTTAATTGCTTATTTAGGGTAGGGCCTTGACCACTCTACTCTGCTTTAATTTCTCATCTGTGGGGATGTTTGTCCAATCACCCACAAGGCTGTTGTTTTTCCATGAGGAAACGTCATGTTTTACAAAGTCTAGTTGCTCCGCAGGTCACACTGAATGCCTACTCTGACTTTCCACACCTTACCAGCTTTCCAGTGTATCCAAAGTTGGAGGAGGCAGGAAGCCTTCTTGTTCTCCATGCAGCCTGCCCTGCTCCAAGGCAATGGCACGTCTCCTCTGCCAAACCAGAGAGAGGAGAGAAATAGGTCAGGTCTTTCCAGGGGTGATAGAGACTCCTGGCCATCTACGGCCAGGAGGTCCCCAACATGAAATATTTCATATTCAGCAACTATGGTTTGGAGTGTTGCCAGGGACAGGTTTTCGGGCTAGGGTAGATCTCTCCTGGGCTTCTGGGAGTTTCTAAGAGATGGGCTCCATGGGGCAACCTCGCTCCCAGGACAGGTAAAGGGCTGGGTAAGCAGTCACTAGGGGTGGCTGGCCCCTTTCCTTCAGGACTCTGGCTGCCTTACCTCCATTCAGGCTAGCGTCTGGATGTACAGTGGGTGATCCCTGAATTTCCCAAAGACAAACCTCTGGATGTGTGCCCATCCTGGAAAAGGAGAGGTACCAGAGGTGACTCCTTGGCCAGTTTGTGGTGTTTCCTCTGCCCCTAAGGCAGTCTTTTGTGATATGTTGCCTTTCCTGACCTTTTCCCTGGGCATGCAGAGCTGGCCCTGCACCCCATGGAGAGCAAACAAGTGGGGTCAGACAGCAGGTCTGAAAGTTGGAGGAGTGGAGCCCATGCCTGTAAAAGTCCTGACCGTGGCCTTGGGCAGGCAGAACACTTGTCCTCAGAGGGAAAGTACACTCCTCTGAGTAGTCCTCTGGTACCCTTTCCTCCATGGTACCCTCAGCCGTGTTCTGCACATCTGTAGATCTGCCTGACCTGAGAGTCCCTCCCACCTACTCCATCCCCTATGACTTTCTGGGCCTTATTTTCTGTCCCGATGATCTATCTATTGATGTAAGTGAGCTGTTAAAGTCCCCTGTTACTGTATTACTCTCAATTTCTCCCTTTATGTCTGTTAATATTTGCTTTATAGATTTAGGTGCTTCTATGTTGGGTGCATATTTACAGTTGTTATATCTTGCTGGATTGATCCCTTCATCATTACGTAAAGCCCTTGTCTCTTTACAGTCTTTGATTTTAAGCCGATTTTGTCTGATACAGGCATTGCTACCCTAGCTTTCTTTTTGTTTCCATTTGCATGGAATGTATTTTTCCATCCCTTCATTTTCAGTCTATGTGTCTTTAGGTCTGAAGTGAGTTCTGGTAGGCAGCATATAGACAGGCTTTCAGTTTTCTGGGATTTTTCGTTTTGTTTTTTTTAATCATTTTATTTATTTTTATTATGTTATGTTAATCACCATACATTACATCATTAGTTTTTGATGTAGTGTTCCACGATTCATTGTTGTTTGTTTTTTATCCATTCCATCACCGTATGTCTTTTGAGGAGAGCATTTAGTCCATTTACATTTAAAAAGTAATTTTTTGATAGGTATGTACTTATTAGCATTTTGTTCATTGTTTTCTGGTTGTTTTTGTAGTTCTTCTGTTTCTTTCTTCTCTTGCTCTCTTTCCCTTGTGATTTGATAAGTTTTTAGTGTCATGTGTGGATTCCTTTCTTGTTAGTTTTTTGTATATCTATTAAAAGTTTTTGGTTTGTGGTTACCATGAGGTTCATATATAACATCCTATGTATGAGGCACTCTGTTTAAAGTTGATGGTCACTTAAGGTCAAATATATTCTAAAAGCACATTTTTACTTCTCCCTCCACACTTTGTTTTTGATGTCGTATTTTACATTTTTTATTTTGTGTATCCTTTATTATAAATATAGTTGATTTTCTTTAAGATTTTATTAATTGAGGGAGAGGGAGAGGGAGAAAAGCAGACTCCTCACTGAGTACAAGAGCCCAAAGTGGGGCTCGATCTCACAACTCTGAGATTATGACCTGAGCTGAAATTAAGAGTTGAACCCTTAACTGACTGAGCCACCCAGACGCCCCTAAATATAGTTGATTTTACTACTTTTGTCTGTTAGTCTCATACTAGCTTTATAAATGGTTGGCTCATACTACCTTTGTATGTTTGCTTTTGCCAGTGAAGTTTTTTTTTTTTTCTTTCATAATTTTCTTCTAGTTATGGCCTTTTCCACTTAAAGAAGTCCCTTTCACATTTCCTGTAAGGTCAATTTACTAGTGATGAACTCCTGTAACTTTTGTCTGAGAAACTCATTAGCTTTCCTTCAATTCTGAATAATAACCTTGCTGGGTAGAGTGTTCTTGGTTACAGGTTTTTTCCATTCAGAACTTTGAATACATCTTGCCACTTTCTGACCCGCAGAATTTCTGCTGAAAAATCAGCTAGCTAGTCTTTTGGGAAATCCTTTGTAGGTAACTAGTTGCTTTCCTCTTGCTGCCGTTAAGATTCCCTCTGTATCTTTAATTTTGGACATTTTAATCATTATTTGTCTTGGTGTGAACCTCTTTGGGTTCATCTTCTTTGGGGCACTCTGTGCTTCCTGGACCTGGATGTATGTTTCCTTCCTCAGGTTAGGGAAGTTCTCTGCCCCTTTCCTTTTTCTCTTTTCTGTGAATGTTGTTATATTTGATGTTATTGAGTTAACTTAAATTATCCTCATTTTTAAAATTTCTTTTTTCTGGGGCGCCTGGGTGGCTCAGTCAGTTGAGCATCTGACCTGATTTTGGCTCAGGTCATTATCTCAGGATCCTGAGATCAAGCCCCACGTTGGGCTCCGTGCTCAGTGCAGAGTCTGCTGGAGATTCTCCCTCTGCGCCTGCCCCCCCAACTCTCTCTCCCTCTAAATAAAATCTTAAAATAAATATTCTTTTTTCTTTTGGCTGTTCACAGCTTGGATGACATCTACTACCATCTTCCAGATTGCTGATCCATTCTTCTACACAATCTAATCTGCTGTGGATTCCCCTCTAGTAGATTTTTCACTTCAGTTGTTGTATTCTTCAGCTCCAATTTTTTAAAAAAATATTTTCTACCTCTTTGTTAAGTTCTGTGTTCATTCATTCTTTTCCCAAGTTCAGTGAGCATCTTTATCACCACTGCTTTGAACTCTATCAGGTAGATTGCTTATCTTTCATTTAGTTCTTCTTCTGAGGTTTTGTCTTGTTCTTTCATTTGGAACATATCCCTCTGTTTTTTGCCTGACTCTCTGTTTCTTTTCTTCTTCTTCTTTTTTTTTCTTTTAAGATTTTATTTATTTGAGAGAGAGAGAGGAGAGAGAGAGAGAGCGGGCACAAGCAAGGGGCAGGGAGAGAGACAAAGCAGACTCCATGCTGAGCGTGCAGCCCAATGCTGGGCTCGATCCCACAATCCCTAGATCATGACCTGAGCCGAAATCAAGAGTTGGATGCTCAGCTGACTAAGCCACCCAGGCGCCCCACTCTCTGTGTTTGTTTCTATGTATTAGGTAAATCAGCTGCATCTCCTGGTCTTAAAGGAGTACCTGCAGAAGCCGTTCTGTGGGGCCCAGAAGTGCAATCCCCCTGATTACTAGAACCACACATTCCAGAGTTGCCCTTTGTGGGCTGTGTGTGCCCCCTATAGTGGCTGGGCTGCAACTGTTGCAAGCATGCTAGTGGGCAGGGCTGGCCCCTGGCCTGGCTGGCTGCAATGCCCAGCTGTGGCTGCTGCAGGTGGGCTGATATTTGGGAGTGGCCCCCAGTGAGGCTGGCTGCAAGGCCCAGCTGCGACTGTTGTAAGTGCACGGGTGCTGCACCCACCCTCCAGCAGGAGCTGCTCTGGAGGGGTGCTGGTCTGGCTGAGGCTACCCACTGGGTGGGGCGGGGTTGTAGCCACTTTGGGGGTGGGGGGGTGGGAGCGCCAGTCCTGGTCAGGACTGCCTGCCAGGGACGGCAGGGCAGGAGCCATTAAGGCAGTGGGGCACTGGTCCTGGCTGAGGCTGCCCACTTGGTATGGCAGGGCAGGAGCTGCTTTGGAGGGGGGCCTACCGGGCAGGTCTGCACGGGAATGCCAGGGCAAGGTGAGCAGTGCTAGCAAGGTAGATGAAGAGTGTCAGAACTGGCACCCACTAGCATCAGGCCAGCTAGACAGAGGGAGGGAAAGAAAAGTGGTGCCTGCCAGTGTTTCTGTTCTCAGAGAAAGTCCCTACAGATCCTTGCCCCTCTAGCACACACCCTAAAATTACTTAGTCAGGGGTGCCCGGCTGGCCCAGTTGGTAGAGCATAAGACTCTTGATCTGAGGGTTGTTTGAGCCCCATGTGTGGTGTAGAGTTTACTTAAAATAAAAAATTTATTTTTCTAAAGATTTTATTTGAGAGACAGAGAGAATGAGCATGAGCAGGGGGGAGAGGCAGAGGGAGAGGAAGAAGCTCAGCAGGGAGCCTGACTTGGGGCTTGATCCCAGGATCATGATCTGAGCCTAAGGCAGATGCTTAACCAACTGAGCCACCCAGGTGCCTCTAAAATAAACAATTAAAAAAAAA